GAGGGGGTAGGGAGGGGGTAGGGGTGGCGATCCGCTGAGTTGGGCAGAAATTGTCGGAATGCCGGGGGGGGGTCCACGTGAGTGCCACTCAATGCCCCCCTTCCCTCCACCCACGTCCGCACGTGACCCACCGGCTCTTCCGGACCTGTTGATCAGAGTTTGAATGGGGCGGGGGGGGGGAGTGTGCGGCTTTCGCGTGTGTTTGAATTGGAATTGCATGGACCTTGTGGTGAGTTGGTTCCCGCTATCCGGGGCTGTTTTGTTACGTGGCTGGGTGGGATTTGTTTTTTGTCAGCTCGCCGCTCTGCAACTGTTTGTACTGCGGTCGATTCCAATTGCTTTAGGGTAATGGACCACGATTCTCTGCGGCTATTTCAGGGCGACGGTCGCTGGCAACATGTGTTGTGGGTCGGTGGCAAGATGTTCACTCCTTCGCCTGGTATGCAGGAAGTTGTGGTTTCGATCCCGACCTTGACTCCTGCTGTGTATTTGCAGTTTGCGTGTGTCTCTCTCTCTGTGGTCGCGTGGATTCTTTCTGCGGGTCCTCCGGTTTTTCCCTCCACATTTCGACTCAACGTGCGTTTAGAGTATTTGGCTGCTGTGAATTTCCATCAGGTGTGAACAACAGCGAAAAAATATATCTATGGGCTCTCGATATAGAATGATTGCTTGTGTTGCAGTCGAAACGTCGTGATAATTGTATTGCTTTATATATGTATTTACTTATTATATTATCGTTTCCCTTCTACGTGACTTTACCGAAAGATGCAAGAATATGGGTGGTGGTTCCTTAATAAATAATAACGTCACGAAGTCGTTTTTTTTTGTTAAAGAGCCGCATGAGGCGGCGGCCTCCTCCATCGCATGACCGCGGCAGGAGGTGGCGACTGTTTGGGAGGAGACCATCCAGCAGCGGATAGATCACGGCCGACTTAGACGACGCCACGATGTGTGCCGCGGTGTGACCCGTCGATGCCCTATGACCCACGATGGGGGACGCCGTTAATCTCCGAGCGCGTCGACGAGCGCTATCAATCAGGACTCCACGAGAGAAGCACTTAGAGGAATGAAATCAATTAATTGTGGCGAGCTCGCTGTGGCACGTGTCGTGAGTGCGCAGTGGCAGCAGAAGCGGTGGTGGACGCGTGGGTGACTTCCGTGGGGGGTGGGGGGGGTGCTGAGACACTGACACCCCCCGCTCCCGTCAAAGGTAGGTGGAGTAACGGCTCGATTCCATCCATGACCGACACTGCCACGTGTCCAAAAAAAATAAAAAGCTGACGAATAACGCTTAATGATTGCGTCGGTTGACAAACGTGGGGAGGTTTTATTCCGTCGTAAATCAATGTCGGCGGTGGAGTGGTAACAATCGCTGCGTTATAAACCTTGCCGACCTAAGCTGGATTCCCGGTGCGTGGCCATCGTGAGTGATGGCTGATATGTGAATCGGGCTTGAGCCCCGTACGTTTTTTTTTTTTACACAAACAGAAAATAAAAAATCCCAAATTTTGTTCTCGATTACCTTATCGGCGTCCTGTATCGAAACGTGCCCATTTGGATATGGCGCAGTGCAAGTTCTCAAATCTTGGCGTTTTGGGAACGGCCAGTGGAAGCGGATATTACAGAGCTACTACAGAGAAATTGCTTCTCGACACTTATTCTCTGACAGAGCAGCGCTCGGCACGAGACTTTTAACAAATTCTCTAAAGTTGTAATTTAGCCAAATTGAGTGCAAAAACACAGATTTACCGCGGTGGGCTTCCATGTGCAGCCTGTATGTATGTTTAACTTCTTTCACACCGGTACGTCGCTGACCGGTGCTAATCGTAGGTGTGCAGTCCATGCCCTCCTGGGCCAGCCAGCCCCAACCTACTTTCATGAACCCGCAATCACGCGGTGCGGTGAAGTATATGGCACATTCTAACCAACACCACCAAGGGGGTGGGGGCCTTCATCCATCAAAGGCGTTCAGAGGGCTGTAAAACATTGTTATATCTAGAGACTGGGTCACGTCAAATTAATGTGGAATTTGCACCCCTTGCTCGCGACCATAGTGTGGAGAATTCAAAGTAGCAATTCTTACCTGGTACAATACAAGAAAAACTAAACGCTCTCAAACTATTTTTTATTTTACCAGGTGAGGCCCACTGAGATTTTGTAGCTGTTTTTCAGAAGCGACCTGGCCACATGATAGCTCAAGGAAGTGATTTGTGTGGATATTTCTAACAGCCAAATACTACAAACGCGTGATGTTGATTCTAAATGTGGAGGGGAAACCCGGAGGACACGCAGACAAATCCACGCGACCACGGAGAGCGAGACGTGCAAACGTCCAAATATACAGCAGCAGCAGGCATCGTCAGGGTCGGGATCGAGCACCACGACCTCCTGCATACCTGGCAATGTAGTTAACATCTCGCCACCGTGGAATGAACAAGAATAACAAAAACCCTTTACACAGACTATTCTACAACTGCTGCTTTGCCTGTGCACGTGGCTTTTCTTTTGGCAGCTGCCAACAATTTGTGACCTGCCTTGGCATCGTGGCTATTCTTAGTTTGGAAGGAAATAACTACGGGGAACAAACGGAATATGACCGATTTGCCCTCTTCGTAAGGGAATGCTGCCCGTATGCAAGATTTGCCCACCAATTGCCGCCTTTTGTTTTGGGTACGAGAGGTTGTCGCAATCATGTACTTGTACGTACGTTGGACTTCGTTGACACCGTACGTTGCCAACCGTGCTACTCGGAGGTGTGAGGGTCGGGACAACGAATCGCAAGCAGCACTTTTAAAGAAATTAGTTTTCAATACAGACAAAAGGTGTTCAGGCATGGTGTTGGCCAACCCACCCCATAGCAGAGGTGTGGACTCGAGTCATGTGACTTGGACTCGAGTCAGACTCGAGTCATGAATTTGATGACTTCAGACTCGACTTGGACTTGCATAACAATGACTTTGTCCCACCTCTGAGGTGTGGACTCGAGTCATGTGACTTGGACTCGAGTCAGACTCGAGTCATGAATTTGATGATTTCAGACTCGACTTGGACTTGCATAACAATGACTTTGTCCCACCTCTGCCCCATCGTGTACCGTGTCAGCCTTAAAAGGTGCCCCTAACAGCTATATGGGGCATCTTTGCCTTCACATTTTTCACCGTAAGTAGCCAACCGTGCAAATCGGTGGTGCTGGAGAAGCACAAAATAAACACAAAGCAGTTCTAAAGAAATTAGTTTTCAATCTAGATTTAAAAGTGCATAGCTCCAGTGGCTTTGTAATATCGCAAGGCAGAACGTTCCAGACGGCCGCTGAAGCACATCTGAAAGCGCCTGCGCGATGCAGCGATCGTCTTTGTTCGATGGCTAGCCAACACAAAATGCAACCTCTTGGTTTTTTGTGTATTGTCGAACACAGGCTGTAAAAGGCCCAGAAGGACAGCCAGCAACAAACAGCACATTTTAAAGGTTTAACAGATGGCAGTCAACGCGTTTCTAGAATTGAGGAAGATGACTTATGTGAGCTTGCGGGGGAGACTCCGGGAGAGAATTCTATACAGTGGAACAGTGCGAGGGAAAGAAGCACAGAGAAGATTTGTTTTGGTGACCTGCAAGTGTGGTGATGGTGGTGGTTGAGTAAGTGGGGTCGGTGAGTAATTGGGATTGAGTAACTGGGTGGGTAAGTTGGTGAGTGTGAATGCGTGAATACATTCAAGTGTAGTGGGGGGGGGGGGGCGGTGGTGTAGCGGTTAGCGCACTGCTCTACGAACCCAGTAACCCGAGTTCGATTCCCGTTCACGGCCACGAACAACACCAGCGGGGGTTATTCGAACCGGTCCTGGGCCTCCCCTAGGTCGCCTCGGCCTCATGAGTACGTGGGTGCGGTGTGTAAACATCACCACTCGGGGAGACAAAGACGCTCCGGGTGTGGTGCTGGCCAACCCCCCATCCCCTCGTGTGCCGTTCTGGCCAAAGATCCCAAAAATAGGATCACAGTTTGGGGAATTTTTCGGCCAAAGATCCCAAAATAGGATCAGAGTTTTGGGAATTTTTCGGCCAAAGATCCCAAAATAGAATCACAGTTTGGGGAATTTTTCGGCCAAAGATCCCAAAATAAAATCAGTTTGGGGAATTTTTCAGCCAAAAATCCCAAAATAGGATCAGAGTTTGGGGAATTTTTTGGCCAAAGATCCCAAAATAGAATCATAGTTATGGGGAATTTTTCGGCCAAAGATCCCAAAATAAAATCAGTTTGGGGAATTTTTCAGCGCCAGTTTCTGGGCTGCCTTTCCCTTCCCGCTTTGGCTTCGGCTTTTCCCGCTGCCTCCCGGAGCAAAAAACTGGCGGCGCCTTACAAATCCCCTGCAGCAGTTATTTTCTTTTGTTGACAAGAGGGCGATCTGCGTAAATAAAACGTACAACAAAAAAATGAACACTCATGTTGGCCACAAGGTTGGGTCACAAAACAGCCTTTTATTTATCAAATGAGACATTTCGACGACGGAAGAGAGACAATCGACCATAGAGTCCATCGCCACCAATCTGACTCCCCCCCCCCCCCTGCCAATCCATCCATTGCAACAAGCTTCAGTAGGTGGGGATCCTACCGTAAGGGGGGAGGGGAGGAAAGGGTGGGGGAAGGAGGAATGGGGGGGGGGGGGCACACACACGCAAGGCTGATGTGTGCCCTCGCTGGCTGTCGTGAGTATATCGGCACTGTCGGTGCGGTGAGGCTGGCTGTGAAAGAAGGTCACGTATGCGTACTCTGAGCCAGAGACTTTTTATGGCTTGGTTCTGGCTTTGCTTGGCAACTCTCCGATGGGATGGAAAACCGTCCACCATCCTGGTACCGCGAGGGTCCCATCTGCCGGCCGGGATATGCCAGTAGAAAACGGGAAGACAAGGCCCCTGTTAACTAACACAGTTGGGCCGATCCACGCTGGGCACCCTTCACCCCCAATTTCCCCCCCCCCCCACCCCCGATGGTCGTGGAGACACGGCAACGGGGTCACCCAGCGCTAGCCGCGCGTTCTTGCGTGGGCAACGCAAGAACGCGTGACACGAAGAATGAATGCGTGACACGAAGAGGAGATATTCAAGCAAGACGTTTCTCCTGTTGGGAGCGCCATCCGGGTGGCGCTACGTCTACTACGGCTAGCTCAGGGGTCGGCAGCCAAAAAAAACGAGAGCCTTTTTTTTTCGAATTGGGTAAAATCAAACTAAATATTTCAAGAGCCGCATTGCACGTGAATAGGAGACTGTGGTTGCCCTTAATGATGTCACGAAACGGTCTTTAATGAGCCACATGCGGCTCTGGAACTGCGAAGTTGCCGACCCCTGCCCATGGTAAAGTGAACTCTCATGGAAAACTCGACTTCCATCCATGGTCAGGAGTCGGCAACCACAAATAACGACAAGATACCTTTTTCGAATTTCAAGAGCCCCCACGGGTATTTTTCCCAGCCTTGGGGAGGGGAGGTGAGGACGCGTACAGGTGGTGGATTCGGAAAGTTCTCAATGCCAGCCAGAGTCGGGCAGATCCATAACGCATTGAGAGACCCAGAACACATTCAGAGACCCAGAGTTCCCTACACGCAGATGAGCGGACTCGCACAGAGATCCGCAGGCTCGCCTCGGGGACCCCATAGACTTACACGAGACATTTTAAACTGTGCTAGCAGTAGCTGCATCATCGTCGTCGGCAGCGCTTTGCTCGCATGGAGATGCAGAAACTCGCTTTTGGACTCGTAGACTCGGGTAGAGACCCCAGTGTCCCTTGTACAAAGACCCATAGACTTATATAGAGACCCATAGACTCGGATTGGGACCCATAAACTCGCACACTCGGAGAACGTGGCATTGGCTGCGCCGTTATCACCGTTTCGGCGTCCATGACTTTGCATTCCAATTTACTAACGAGTGGTCCACCTGCACGCGTCGTCAACCGAGATTAGGGGGGGGGGTGGGTGGGTGGGCGGGGGGGGGGTAAACCCGAGGTGGACATTGGAGAGGAGCCCTCGCCAATAAGAAACATCGAACCCCCCCCCCCACCCCCCTCTCAAACTCGCTCTGCTTGAGGCCCTCCGGCTAGGGCTGAACGATTAATCGATTTCAAATCGATATCGCAATTTGAAAATATGCGATTAGCAAATTGCAAAGGCTGTGATTTTTTGCGATTTGAAAAGTCCGATTACTTAATGGAATTGTTTTATTTATTATGAGAACTTTATTTAACGTAACAATTGTTCCAAGTTTGATTGTTCTATTTCAATTAAACATTTTAATAAATACGTTAGAATCGAATATTGGAAGTTCTCATCCTTGCATTACAATATAAAGAGCAATTCATATTTGGATGGTATCATGTGGAAATGCTCCACGTTTTAAATCTATTGCAGAGTGAATATTGAACTGAAGCTTGACTTAAAAAAAATTAATCGCAATGTCAGACAAATCGCAATCAGACATTTTCCACAAATCGTTCAGCGCTAGTCTATACCAGCATGTGCCGCGATAGAAATGATTCTCGATGCGACGCGACGCAGTCACGGGGTCGATTCGTGCCAGAAAGCGGCACTCTCGTGCAACTGGTACATTCCAGTGCTTATAAGGTTAGAACTTTCATTATTGTCCGTTCATTATTATTTTAGAACTGTATTATTCGTTGTTAACTTCACCGTTATTTCACGAGTACTTTATCTGGAGAGGGGGGAGAGTGAAAAAAAAAAGACGAAATATTTTTGCGGAACTTAAACGAGCGACGATACGATCGCCGTCTCGACGATGCTTTTTATCAAACCGGGCGACGCGGGGCGTGCCGTGGATGTGTCATCGCACGGGAGTGTCGCGGGCAAGCCTGCTTTTTCGAAACGTACAAAAACGACGTCTTTAGCGATTCGCGGATGCGTGGCCACCGCAGCATTGAGTGCGTCTGCTGCACCACGGAGATGAATCTCACAATCAATGTTTTGCCGGCAAGCTGTCAGGCAGCGCTGCATTAGAGAAAGTCACGGGTTTATCGGCATAAGGGACTACCACCACCAGCTTACGCCCTTACCTGTACATACTCCAATATTACTGCACCCTACATCACTATAATCCTATAAACATGTTTATAGGAATATAGGGTACTACGGAGGACGTTAATGATAGTAATAATAATAATTAAGGCGAGACTGATGTGGCGTTGCCAAAAAATGCATAGCCGGAAACGGCGTTCCGGATGGATCTGGCTGAAAGGAAGCACCGATTCGACGCGCTGCTGTTGTATATCCACCAGCCCCATGTGTCGGTGATGCAAACCCAACTTGAAAAGCTTTTTTAGTTTTTCTGGATATTTTTTTTCCAGGCACAAAATATAGGATTTTTGTTTAATATATATGCTTTTGTTGTCGTAATTTTTATACGTAAAACCAAAAGTCAAGTCACAATTATGTACAATATATACAAAGTAAAATCCTTCAAAAACAACCAAGACAGTCTTTGGCATTTTAAGGCGGTAAAAAAAAAGCTTTTTTTCTTGTAAGTGCTGCATCGTTTATACAGAGAGAGACGACATCAATGCCTTGCAAACGAGAACGCACGGGGGGGGGGGGGGGTAGGATAATGGTATATTATAACAACAAGGGGATGTCAACATTGGACTTGATAATAACAATAATACTCAAATGTCCTTAAACATTTTTTTAACGCGACCGTTAAAAATACCGCCGCCACCACTTTGAATATTACCCCAACAGTTTTGTACAATAATAATATATTAATATAGGCGACTTACATTGAAAAGTAAAAGTACAGTGAAAAGGACAAGTCCTGTGCAGATTTTAACGTTCCACTCTTGAAACCTTTTCGACTGTGCCCCTCCCTCGTGTCTGTGTGTGTGTGTATATTACGTGTCTGTCTGTGTGTATTACGCGTCTGCGTACACGCAGTCAACTCTCGATTGTATCCTTGGAGGTGTTATAAAAACATTTTTTATCATGATATCGGCAAAAAGAGATGGGCTTTCACCCTTTCCGGCAACAGCACAAGGACGTGTTTAACGCTTTCAACGCTTTCACGCTTCCGATTACGTCATACACGTGTACGTCATACACGGGTGCGTCATACACGTGTACGTCATACACGTGTGCGTCATCGGGGAACGGAACCGGAAGGGAAAAAACGAACGTGACTTTATCGGTACCGACGCTCCCCCAAGGCCATGCGGCGGGAGGGCGAGTGGCACAGTTTGGCGCCAGCTATGGCAGTGCGGTTGTGTCGCTACAGTTCTCTGCGGTGAGGACGAAGTCTTTAAAAACAACGGCGCTACGCCTCCTCGAAATTCAAATTAACGCTAACCGCTTATGCGTTCCGAGATTCAACGGTGAACGGGAACCCACCCTGCAACTTGCAGTTGCCTCGGAATGGGAAAGGGTTTAAAAATATGCAAATAAAAGACATCAAGTCTGCATTAACCACACCATGTGTGTGTGTAAAACATACAAACAGACATTATTTGATAATGTATGCATTGTCCCTGAATCTGATTGGCCTACACCAGAGAGACGGCCTTCTTTTTATGGCCTTGCCTCACCAGTGTTAGCATTGCCTTTGTGCTGTTCGACTTCTGGCGTTCTCTGGTCCAGCTCTTGATTTGCTGCATCGGGCGGATCGTCAGGGCCAAAGGTTAACCAACCGTGCTCTCGATTTTTTTCATAATCTCTGATAATTAGCTTAACGCGTGCCAGTTCTATTTATCTGCTTGCTCCCCATACGTCACGGGTTTTCCTCTGCGCCCACGTGACCCGACTGGACATCTGTGAACAAAAAGAGCTTTGTAGGTCATCGGATTACTCCAGGATAAATAACTCTCCACCCACCGCAGATATTCCGAATTTCCACCGCTGGCTCAGGGCTGTCGTGTAAACAGACGCGCACCAATGCCTCGATGCAAATTTTCTAAGGGAAATCACTTGTTACTTACTCTAAGTGTCTTTGTAAAGTCTGATTAACACAAGTTTTGCATTATCTGTGTCATTTTTTTGTATATGTCTTTGGGCCCATCCATTCCCCAGTTAATCAAGAGTTCACCGTGTGTACAGAGCGTTAGTTCAAGAGCTTATACCATGAGCAAAGGTATAAAAGCTAAAAAGTCCGACTCGCACAAATTAATCTATTGCATGTCGACTATGGTTTTCTTCATAGTTTATCACTAATGCCTCTCAGCCGTATAAGAGTTACGATCCGTATACCAGAGTACCATAGAGTCCTAAAATATAACACGGTAAAAAAAGTGCTAAAAACAAACCGCCAAGAATAGACAATTTAACGCGCGAGCTTTCGCGACCAATATTACGATTCCGTTGCCGACCTTTGGGTCGGGGTCGTGCAAGCATACGGTGGTGTCACACCCTCCTCCGCCCGGACCACAGCCGATTTTAATCAAAGTCGTCGAGGTGAGTTGAAAGTGCCGCACTTAATAGTTGGGCTTCGGCTGCACAGTTGACGGTGTTGGAGCACGATCCGCAGCGGCAATACATTGGCACATTTGTTCACGCGACTTAACCCCTTTACGTACGTGTACGTCATCAAAACGACATGGGGGGGGTGGGGAAGGAACGAAGTAACTTTATTGGTACCGATGCTCCCACAAGGCCATGCGGGGGGGAGGCAGTTTGGCACAGTTTTGTCGCCAACTATCGTTTAGTGCTGTGGTCGTGCCGCTGCGGTTCTGTGCGGTGAGTCCAGTACAACGCCTCTAAAAACAAGCACGCCACGCTGCTCTAAATAAAATTAACGCTTAACCGCTCGCGCGTTTCGAGATTCAGCGGTGAACGGGGACCCCACCGCCCACCGCGCAACTTGCAGACAGTCTCGGAACGGTGGAGGGAAAGTGTTAAAGTGTTAATTGGCCGTGTCGGTGGGAGGAAGATGTATCACACACACACGATCCTACTCCGCGCCGTGATCGGACCCAAAAATCAAACGCGAATGGTAACAATAACCTCGGGGCGGTTCATTACGACGACTTATTGCGTTGAGACAGCCTCGCTCGTGAAAGTTTTTGGGGCGCTTTGCCTGGGTGGATGGACACGCCGTCGTAGCCGGCTGGGCCCTTTCTGTGACATTTTCAAAATAAAAAAAATCCAGTGTCAAGTGCAATTTAAACTTTTTTTTTGCGTTGTGCGAGCGATGTCCATTACCCATTGGTAGCGACAGTGAAATTTTTCTCCATGGAGGGACTACTGTGTGTTGTCTTGGTGTGGTCTGGGACTGCTTTGCTGTTATGTTGTTGCCTTGTGCAACCTTGGGTATCGGTGTTCTAATGCAATTTGAACTTGTACACTTGATCTACTTTACATATTTATTTTTAGTGATTTGCTTGCCTTTTCTACACTTTGCATCCCTATCGGTTTTTAGTTATTATTATTTGTAACTTTCTGACCCACCCCCAACTGTGGACATCTGTGAAAAAGAGCTTCGTAGTCCACTATAAATACATATTCTGATTTAAGTGATTGTTACGTTGAATGGTATGGGCCACGAGTGGCTGCAGGGTGGGGCTTGGTGAGGGACTGGGGTCGTCACGTTAACCAATCACTGCACACGTGTATGTACACACAGTGTATATACTGTGTGGCACACGAGGGAGCAACATGTAATGCATCTACCAGCCGCCGCAGACAGTCAAAACCATTAACACATGGGTCCATCCTGTAACCAACTCCACACCTGGCCTGGCACGTCGGTCGAACCACAACACGTGGGCCTGTCCATTGACCTCCTGCCGGCGAGTCTTCAACAATTCACGTGAAGGCCTCTGAAGTGCACCTAGCCTGGCACGAACGCCGTGGCGAAGCCACAGTGGCTTGGTGGCGAATGTCCAGCCGTTTATGGTTTTTGCAGCTTGTGCGCGTGCATGCGTGCGTGTGTGTGATATAACTCTATGCGTTCACGCACGTACATTAATATAAACCTAATTTTATTTTCAATATAAAATCGTTGTCTACGGTTCTCTCTCTCCCCCCCCAGCTTGGTCGCTTCCTCGAAGGGCAAATCAACAGGCAGGCCCGAGTCAGCTGGTCAGGGTCATGCCCTGCGAAACGACGCTCATGCCAAGCTGCGATTGGCCGATGCGAGCCAGCTCTGTCCTGGGGTTGCCGAGTTGCGTCAGCGCGGAGGACACGTGCTGAATCACCTGCTGCTGCTGCTGCTGCTGCGAGCAACTCGCCTGCTCCTCCGTGGGGCTCTCGTCTTCTGCAGCACACACGGACGACGCATCGACACGCGGGGAAACAAAAACGCGCTTCGTCAGAAGTCGTGTGTTTTTTTACATACATTGCAGAAACCTGGGTCACAGGTCGGGGTTGGGGGGGGGGGGGTGCTGCCAACTTTTTCCCCACAGATTGGAATCTTAATTTATCCTGGAGAAATCCGATGAGCTATGAAGATTTTTTTTTATTACACAGGTGTCCAGTCGCGGCACGGTGGGTCAACGTTACGACAGCGAACCAATACAACAAAAACACGATAGGAGTGAATCGTGTAGGAAAGGTCAGAACATCTCAACGTGCAGACGTTCCCGGGCGGGATAGGGTTGATGAGCGTTCACGCAAGCGAGAGGAAACCGGAGCACACGGTGAAAACCCACGGACACATTGGCGGCAATGACGCTCTATTCCTCCCCCACCCTGTACAGATGGAAACTCAGATGGAGATCCGTCCAATTGCTGTGCCGCCTTCCCCTGGCGAGCCAGGGGTTACGATGGCACCTCCTCGACTGCACCACGGTAAGAAGGGGAGTCTAACCAACATCTGTGCGTGCGGTGATCCGCCAACCCTCGCTGCTGCATCCACACACTGCTGGATCACTGGCAAGCCACGTGCAGCGTGTAGCCACCACCACCTCATTGAGCAGCGATGACAACGTCTTTTCTGGAGATGGTATTTTGTTTTATTGGGCAGCTGTTGTTCCCAATTGCTAACAACAACGTTCCTCAAGCTTCACTCCGTCACACGCTATCCCATTCCCCGTTCGTGGCCAACACCAGTGACCGAATATCTGAACCGGTACCAGGGCCTCCCCTAGGTTGACTCGGCCTAAAATGAGTAAACATCGCCCACTCGGGAGACAAAGGCGGCCGGGCGTGGTGTTGGCCATTCACCTCACCCCCTCGTGTGCCATTCCGGCCTTCAAAGGTGTTCGCTAACAATACTTGCCCCAACTGTCTTAGGGCTATACAGGGCATCTTTGTCTTTGCTATGGATAGCCAAGAAAACAGGCTGTGTATCTGCGTTCCCCCCCCCCCTCGCCATAACTCCTTACACAGGGGTGCACTAAACCTTTAAGAAACGGTAATTATACTACGCAATAACAGTTTATGTGTATATATTTTTTTTATGTGCGTCAACACTTTCTCGTATTTAAATGAGAACGTATCATTCCGTTCCGCGTGCCGGCACTTCCATTTTTTTTGTCCGTTCCAGAATCTCGCGCTCGTTTATGACTGCGGGTCGTTAGCGAGTGCTGGTTAGCGAGCGCTGTGTGTGTGTGTCTCTCTGTGTGTGTGTCTCTCTGTGTGTGTATGTGGTTGTGTGTGTGGGGAGCGGTCGTGCAGCGATTGGCGCGCTGTGCTACGAACCCGGCGACCAGGGTTTGATTCCCGCTCATGGCCAACACCCAGTGACCGAATATCTGAACCGATACCTGGGCCTCCCCTAGGTTGACTCGGCCTAAAACGAGTACCCGGTGCGGTGTTGTAAACATCGCCCACTCGGGAGACGAAGGCGGCCGGGCGTGGGGTTGGCCACCCCTACCCCCTCGTGTGCTCTGCTGGCCTTCATAGGTGCTACTCGCTATAACAGCAATTGCCCCAAAAGTCTTATATGGGGGATCTTTGTCTGGCCATGGTGGTAACTCTTTTTAACATATTCGACCTGGTTGGCTGAGCGCACGGGCCCAGCGACGGCAAAGTTGCCGGCAAGAAAAGGGCACTGTTAAAGGTGTCAACAGGTGAGAGTTTGTACGGTGCTTGAATTGGAGGGGCCCCCATATCACTGGGGTGCAGGGCCACGGTCATCAAGGTGGAGCAATCAAGGAGTAGTGAGGTTTAAGGCAAGAGCAATCGGAGCAACACACCATACGGTGGTGCCCGTCCGCGATTGCCAGAACTGTTGAAGTCTTCCCAATTTCCCGTCTTTAAAATCGAGTAAGGTGACGTCATTGCATTCATATAATATATGTGTGTGTGCGTGTTTATAATGGTTATGTTAATTTGACGGTCGGTGTGTGGCAGAGAAATTGGCGAGCGGACTTACCGTGATAGCCCTGTGCTTTTTTCATGTTACTGACAGGACAGTCCTTGTGCGCCATCAACAGCTGCTTCAGCTGGGAAACCTCGTTTCTTAACAGGGCCACCTCGTTCTGGTGGAGACACAAAAGAAGACAGCCTTAACAGACTGTTGGGGCAGTCGGTGCTGGATTATCCTAGTAGCAAAAGTAGCTACATATGTAGCTACGGGCCCCGCACTTTCAAGGGCCCCGCGCTAAATGCTTTCAAGCTTATCAATTCTGGTTCAGTGATTCTGCACTTGCTCTATTACTACAGTACTATACTGCCTTAGATTTGTATTAACGACTGGGTGTTTAAGATTAGCGATTTGTTGTATTATCTTGCAAATGCAAGTGAAACATTTATGTGTTTTTAATGTAGGGGCCTGTTATAACATATGCTACAGGCCCCACGCTAGCTTAATTCGGCACTGGGGGTGCAAGTGCTGTTCTCCACCCATGTGCCTTGCGTGCATATCACATCACCGCTCCCAATCCTTGTCCAGACATTCCTACCGAAAGAAATGTTCATTCGGCACTGCATCACTCCACCAGGAGAATAGCTCCCCCCCACCCACCCTCTCCCCTGGGGAAGTTGACGTCGCAGAACCACTTCTCAAGTCTCTGCAACGGGGGCCTTCCTTTTATCCACACTGGAGTTAGAACCCCTCCAGTGAAGCTCTATCACCAGCAATTGCAGGGCTGCTCCTTTACAAAAGCTCCCTTTGTTTTTGTAAGTGGACCGCAACAGTGCGCGTGCACCTGCAGCTGCATGTTGGTCTGCGTCAGCTCCTCGGCCTTCTTCTCCAGCGAGCCCACCCACGCCTTGCGCTTGAGGCGGCAGCGAGTGGCGGCGGCGCGGTTGCGCTCGAGGAACTTGCGCCTCCTCTCGTCGGGGTCTTCGTCCAGGACTCTCCGTCTCCGCCCGCCGCCGCCGCCGCCACCGCCAGGCTGCGGCGTCGCCACGAGCGGCAGCTGCGCGGGAGCCCAACAGCGACGCTCGTCACAGCGATGCATGGTAGTAATAATAATAAGTATTGTTATCATCTTCTTGGTTCTTTCGCTGTCTTTCCGACAGACCTGTTCTTCACCTGAGGACGGCTGCTTGCGTTGTGGCCAAAACGTTGTGAGAATTATTTTATTGTTTTATTTTTATTTTATTATTTCCCTTCTACGTGACTTTACCGAAAGAACCAAGAAGATGAATCCCTGCAGTCACGAAAGCTTTAAATCGAGTATTGTTATCGTTATAACGATAATTAATTTTTGTTATCGACGGTCGAGGGTGATAACGGAAGAGCAGCGGCCGAGCAATGGAACGTTTCCGGGAGGATCGATTTTTTTTTTACAACGCTGCTTCCAACACTAATCAAATCGAGTCTGGTTTCCGATGTAGCGTGGCGCTGTCGATTATCTCGAGCGGTATTTTTCGTGTCGAAGTTCACCTGTTGTGAACCCCGTTTTGAATATTGCTGATTTTCTTCACAGAGAAAACGCATCGGCAAGTGGATGTTTGTACTATGGGGGAAAATACGGTCCTATTTTTACGAAGGGGCGCTGTAGAAGCGGGTGCCGGTCTGTTATAGACTTAACTTGCTGATCTCGTCAAGAGGCATAAACCATCACGAAAACTCCCGGTCATCCTCACAGCAGCGGCTTTTGGCTGGCCGTCGAACAAAGACGATCACCGCATCGCGCACGCTTTGAGATGCGCTTCTGCCGCCGTCTGGAACACTCGTTCGGAAGCCTCTAGAGCTATGCACTTTTAAAACTAGATTGAAAGATAATTTCTTTAGAACTGCTTTTTTGCTTAATTTGTCCTTTCCCAGCACCACCTATTAGCACGGTTGGTTACGCACAGTGAAAGATTTTCAAGACAAAGATGCCCCAAATAGCTGTTAGCAGGTACCTTTTAAGGCTGGCACGGTACACAATCGGATGGGTGGCCAACACACTATGCCTTGAACACCTTTTGTTTCCCCCAGTGGCGATGTTTTTACACACCGCACCAGGTGTTCACTTGAGTCGACAATAGGGAATCCCAGGATCGGTCGGATAATCGTCACCGGTGTTAGCCATTAGCGGGAAATCGAACTCGGGTCTCCAGGTTCATAGCGCAGCGTGCTAACCCCTACACTACGGCTCCCCACCATATGTTTAACATGCATAAAATGCGGACGTAATTAGCAAAGCAGTAGCGCTGGTTGACTCCGCGTGCAAGCTCGTACCTGCTGCATCGTGGGCCCGTGGTGCTGGTGGTGGGGGTTGTGGTGGTGGTGCTGCTGCTGGTGGTGGTGGTGCTGCTGGTGATGCGGGAGGTGCGGAGGTTGGTGGTGGTGGTTGTGGTGCGGGTGGTGGTGGTGGTGCTGCTGGGCAGGGTGAGCCACGTGGGGCTGGTGATGTAGGGGCTGTGTTTGCCCACACACGGCCATGCCCGGTGCCATCATCCCCATGGTTCCGTTGGGCAGGTGTGGAGGCGGCTGCTGCTGCTGACTCAAGCAAGCTTTGAGCCTCTGCAAGACAAATCCCGCGCCTCCCATTAGCACGTGCAGCGCGCAAAGACGTTCAACGCACACAAGTGAGACGCAGTTAAATTACCGAAGGCAACAGAACTGCACTGGCATGTGGACGTCGCTAAGAATGACAGGTTATTAGGCCCCGGGTGGGCATGTATCGCGCGCTGGGTGTGGGCGGTTAATTGGCCAGGGTGGAGATATGTTGTACTTCATTGTAGGAAGTAAAAAAAAAATCGGTTCCTGTAAAGATGGCACGTGGATAGTGATCATAGTGGATGGTGACAGCTTGGGGGGTGGGGGGGGCGAGTCCATCATCCAGCAGTGGATCGATCATGTATGATGGTGATGACGATTAACGGTGAGGGCGCAGCCCTGCAATTGCTGGGCTCACGCCACTGCTGGCTTAAGAGGGCCCCCATATGGGAGGGTATCTCAGCCTCAATGTTCCACAACACCACCAAGGTGGCGGTGTGATCGCCCCCTCGGCTGGTGCGTGCAAGGAGGTCGTGGCTGCGATCCTGGGCCCTGATGACGGTCATAGTCATCCACCATGATTCATCCACTGCTGGATGAGGGCCCCCCCAAGCAAGCAGTTGCCATCCCTCACAGCCCCGAGATAGAAAATATTCCACTTCCTTAGCATCTGAATGACCAGACGATACCGATTTAAGTGAGAAGAAATAATATAAACGAGTACAAAAAATGCAATTATAATTTTAATTACAATCCTAAAATCGTGAAAATCTCATCAAATCAGTGTGTGGGGGGGAGGGGGGGGCGTTCTCCTCGTTTCCTCTCGCGTGGAGAGTTACCCAGACTTCCCCGCTTGCCTCACCCCCCCCCCTCCTGCCTCACCCCCCCCCCTCCTGCCTCACCCCCCCCCCACCCTCCACATGAAGAAGAAGATGTAGGCCACTTCGATGCTCCTGCAAGGTCGTCACCGAGCCAGAGCCAACAGCTCGGTGCGCGGCTCTTAAAGACCATTTCGTGTGACAGTCGTGCGCATGAAATACAGCTCTGTAAAAATTGAGGGTTTAACTGACATTCGAAGAAAAAAAATTGTCTCCTTTGTTAGTTTGGGTTGTCGACCTCCACTATAGGGGGGGGGGGGTAGCTCTTCCAGGGACAGACATCTCAGTGGTGAGAGAGGGGTGTAGGAATACCCACACTTTACCCCAGCGCACAGGAACGAGTGGAGATGCAGCACCAGGGGGGTGGAGCGAGAAGATCTTGCGGTGAATGTTTTGAAAGCAGGAGTAGCGGCGGCATCGGAGGGGTGGGCGGGTGGGTGACCTCCAATCGTGTGGAAATTGATGACAGCTTGAAAGAGGAGGGGGGGGGGGGGCTGTGCCCTTTACTGTGACAGGAGGACGGGGGGGGGGTGGGAGTTCCAGGTGAAGGTGAGATCAGAGGGTTGAGCAAGAGCGCAGGGACTACCGCGGGGATTGTTTTTAAAGACGTAACGGACTTAAAACTTCACGCGCAGCTGAAAAGGGGAGGGTGCGGGGCGATGGAGTGGAAAGAATTGATGGTAGATGCATCATCACCGCCCCCCCACACACACACACAAGCCCGGCTAAGAAAGCTTGACAGCTGCACATGTTACATCGGAGCACAAGTCTGGAGATAATGGAGCGTACGAAGAGCCCCATAAATACGCGATTGTTAATAGTTATCGAGGGAGAAAGTGGTGTTGGCGTGAATGACTTGAGACGTGGAGCGATGAGGGTTTGATCAAGAAAGCTTTAAAAATTCATCCGCACCTAGTTTACACAACAAAGGCTCTTTCCTAACAGCGTGCTTCAGCCGCACCGAACCTCACAAAAATAATATTCAGGGCCTACCTTGGCTCCTCCCACCCTCAACCAGTATATATACAAGGATTGTTTTATTTTAATTTCTCTCACTTGATACAGCTATCGTGCTGTGACGGTTCCGCCTGAAGACAGAAGCTTGTGTTGCCTCCGAAACGTCGTGATTTTTATTTTATTTTACTTTTATTAATTAAAATTTTTTTACCTACGTGACTTTACCGAAAAAAACCGAAGAATATGAATACTTGCAGTCACGAAAGCTTCAAATCTAGGGTATGACGGTGGTCGGCACACCGCGTGAATGAACCCGGCGAGCCGAGTTCGATTCCCGCCCACGGCTGCTATCGGTGGCGATTATCTGAACCGGTGCCGAGCCGCCCTCTTTAGCCAATCTGCAGTGAACCAACACGGCGAAGTATGATCAAATAACCAATATGACCAACAACATGGAGGGGGCTTAATCCAGCAGTGGATTTACCAAGCGGTTGTCATTACAGTCCTTCAAAATTGTAACGTGAAAAAATAATGTTTATATTCCGTGTGAAGATGAGAGCCATTGTGTAGGGAAAAGCCAGAGGACCCAGAGCAAAATCCACACGACCACGGAGAGAACATGCAAACTCCAAATAAAGTGGTCAGAGATGGTAACAAACCCATGACCTCCTGTATACCATGCGAGGTAGTTACCATCGTGCCATTGAGAGATGTCTCGGGCTGAGTGGTGATAACCATCAAACAAAGACGGGTCACTGCATTGCGCGCTTTCAGATGCGCCTCTGCGGCTGTCTGAAGCGCTCTTCCGAAACAAGGAAGTACTTTCAAATCATCTCAATTGAAAACTCCATTTCTTCACAACTGCTTTGTGTGTTTCAGCCGTTGTCCATCCCCCCCCCCCACACACCTCCGATTAGCGCGGTTGGCTACGTTCAACGCGAAAGAAGTTCGAAACACACACACAACACATTGTCCCGAAAAGCCCAGGCTGTCAAAAAGCGCCTGTCGGCTCGCGACGACCGAAGTCTGCGCCTGTTGCGTCGTGGCGGCCAGCGCGGGTGGAGGGGGGGGGGGATTAGCAGGGGGCCCAGGTGGTCGCCTCGCTTAGCGCGCACCGTCACCAGCGAGTCGGAAACTCCGGTCGGAGTCGCAGGGGACACGGCCGGATAAATCCCCCCCCAGTCCCCCCTACCCCCCCCCCCACTCCTCCCCCCACCACCGGGGGCGTATCCACCAGGCCGTCGTGCAGCCGCGGGGCTCACTGGTGGCGATGAGATCACGAAACGTCGTCACTTGCGTGGGGGGGGGGGGGTCTGTGGGCGACACGGGTTTCCATTCCCGCTTAATGTCACCAACACCAGGTGAGCATTATCTGAACCGGTACCTGGGCCTCCCCCAGGTGGACTCGGCCTCAAATGACAAATTGAGTAGACCGGTGCAGTGTGTGTGTAAAATATCTCTACCGGAGAGACCAAGACAGCCAGGGGTGGTGCTGGTCACCCACGCCCTTGTGTGGCCGTGCCGGCCTTCATAGGTACTACTCGCTAACAGCACTTGTCCCCACAGTCTGTTAAGGCTCTACGGTGTGGGGGGGGGGGGGGGGGTCTTTGTGATTTTTGTTGGTGGTGATGACTTTGGGGTCTGACAATAGCCAACACTGCTCGGATCCCTGGGTTCGAATCCGGGGTTTCGGCCATCCAAATCCCGGTTCTCGAATGCAATGGGTGATGGTCTAGAGTACGTGGGTCAGGAATTATTGCGCGCAAAAAAAGTTCGTTGTGTTTTAAAAAAAAACTAGTTTGGATAGATTACCACTGGGAATTAAACGTTTTGAGTGTGATTGGCACTTGAATAGACTTAGCAGGGCATTAACAGGCGGTGCCCCATTTGCGCGGATAAAGAGACTCATGGAAGTGACCTCAGAGGTAGTTCTGTGACGTGGTCTTCCGCGGCCGCTATCCGACACGGGGACGATGCACTGCGAGCTGCAAAACGTCGGACATCGTGTGCCCCCAACAACAACAACAACACGCGGGTACAATCCCGTAAACATGGGCGGAGATCGACACGGGCATAACGGAGGAGAGGGGGCGGGGGTGTAGGTATGCAGCGTTAACAGAACTGAATGTAAATTTGCCGTCTGTTAAGACATCAATGTTAATGACGAATGAGTTGAGTTTTTTACGCTCTGGGATTGATGTCTGGGGCTGTTGCTGTTGCTGCTGCTCGGTGACTTTGTCGCGAACGACGGCTCTGCCGCCCCCCGCCTGACTCCGGCGCCAACGTGGGCGAAGCCGCCGGTGATTTCTGTCCGTGTCCTGCGAAATTGTCTACAAACTCTAAGTAAATAATCCGCTACAACCCTCCCGTAAAGACTTTGCCACCCCCTTATTGATGGCTTTAAAAAACGCCCGTCCCCACACATTGATTTGATGCGAGTTTAAGGATTTTAGGGTTAGAATGAAAATAATTGCAAAAAAAAATTCTTACTCTTTAAGCTGACTCGTTTGTATTTTTCTCTCGCTTCGTCTATCATTTGCACATCCAGATGCTCGGAAGTGGATCGTTTCATCTCCAGGGCTGTGAGCGACGGGGCAACTGTTTCCTTGGGGGCCCCTCATCCAACAGTGGACGAATCCTGGTCGACGACGACGACGATGATGAAGGTGACGATGATGAAGGTGACGATGATGAAGGTGACGATGATGAAGGTGACGATGATGAAGGTGACGATGATGAAGGTGACGATGATGAAGGTGACGATGAGAACCGCACGGAAGGAACGAGTGCGCCGCCGCCGCCACCGCCGCAAAGCGTAGACGGTGAGACGGAGGTCAACCGCCTCCGCGCGCACGTGAGTGACGTTTTCACGGCGCCCGTGGTCACGCCGACGGTGAAAGTTTCCGCTCGCGCGCTTTTGTGATTTGTGAATTTGTAACTTTATTTTGTCACCTTTCCCGGCCTGTCCCCCCCACCCACCCACCCCTAACCCCGGGGAGAGGCGAGCCTTGCGGGGCTTGATTTACCGTGGCACTCTTAACGTCGGGATTTATCGCCGCGGTAACGACGACAAACAATAACGACAACAAAAACAACAACAAAAAACCCACCTGCCAGCAAGGAAGGTATTTAAAAGCGACGCCCTCATCACCGCCGGTAAATAACAGCTCGAGAAATGGAGGAGGCGCG